CGTAAAAACGGAGGAAATTCCCGAGCCGCAGCACGATCAGCACTCGCTTCTTCACCACCAATGTTTATATTGGTGATCTTGTTCCGGATCTTAAACCTCTGTAACCACCCAGAGGAAGCAGTAAAGGGTTTGGGCTCTGTAATTCCCATCTTTCGTGCCACTGCCATGTACAGTTCACGTGCGTAGTCCTTCACAGAGCGCGTGTCGACCGCCATGTTCCGTCGCGCCTGACGCACCAAGTACCTCACAAGTAATTTTTCTGTCTTGAGAAGCACCTGGTTGTGAAAATACTTGATCATAGAAGCACCTGTAGACTTTGTGATCTTCATGTGCTCCTTTATCTTGGCTGAATCCTTCTTTATAGTCCGGATCGTAGATTCGTTGACGCCATGCTGGCGCGCGAGATCAACTTGCCGTGTTCCTTTCTCCAAATCTTGAATAATTTGGTACTTCACCTCGTAGCTTAAGGAACGTCGTGTCCTCTTTGGCTTAGTGCCGCTGGGTCCAGGTAAGGAAAGGTTTTTCTCTGGGGGTGGTGGTCCGGCGGAAGCCATTTTACGGAACAATGGATGCGCGTTAACACGGAGTGGCCTTGAGGGATGAGACTGTCGCGGCTAGGTCAAGCGTCGTCTCTCCTCCCTCCCTCCCTGCCCCGGGTGGACACGTCATAATACTTTAAGCCAATTACAGCTAGCAGCAGAGGAGGGTAGGGATGCATGGCCAATCACAGGTCTTGTACGTCATATGACGTCAGTGATAACGCAACAAAGACACACTGCGCAACCTTACCGCGCCGCTTGCCCAAGCGGAGGGAGGAGGAGGGAGAGGCAGGCAGGCGGGCAGGCGGGTGGCGCGTGGGGAAAATCTAAAAATAGCGTCGCGCCGGACACTCTCCGCGTAATGGCGTTCGCGACCGCGAAATGTGAAAATGTTAGGTTCTGGCAAGGCACCGCGGTAACGGTGAAACGCGGAATGCGGGACCGCTTAATGTGAGGACCAACTGTAGTGAGAAAGTGCAGTGCTGGCTTATGGGACTCACTTTCTTATAGAGCCATACATTGTTGTCCTTGAAGATGAAATTCCAACAAGAAATTTTATCAGCACTAATACAATGTTCAGTACAACTAGCACCATGCCATGCCAGAATTACATTGCTATGTAACTATTTACTGAAAATTGAACCATCTTTTGTTTAGCCAAACTCACAGCTGAAAATCTTACATTCATAAACATAGTACAATACTGTACAACCCATTGTTGGTATCTTACACTGACTGTTGGTGCATATTTATGGATAATCACATAAAGGAATATGTCTAAGCTTACTGCACCTCGTGGTATTATGGCCAGGAAAAACAGATGACAATATGTGTTACTGCCACCTGTTTTGTGTGTAATGACAAAACAGAATTGTGAACCATTGTGTTTTGTCCTGTTACTAATATTGTTTATATCTCTTTTAAGGGTTAAAACATCAGAAGGCATTTCCTTATCTTCTACTGTTCCATGTTTCAGTTAATGAATATGTAAAACAACCATAACTAATACAGTAATAATTCTTTTTCTAGGTAATAGACCCCTAATTGAGTTATTAATTATACCCCATACATTATACCACTGTGCAACAAATTTTAGGGAAAGTTGTGTTTATCTGAATTTTGTACTTTTTATATATGTTTTCGAGTATGCTGATTCCAAATATGACTTTATTTTTTTTACAGCATAATAGTTTTATCAGAAATTAGCAATTAAATTTTTATCATCTCTGAAATTTAACCAGAAATCAGAAGGTGAAAAGTTGATATACATCACATTTGCTAATGAAATAAATGAAACGAGAACACAATTTTATGTTATATTGAAAGCATAAACAACACATTCCTTTTCTACACTTGTTACTAATGAAATTGATCAATAAACTATGCTAAAAATGAACACTTGAACGGCATTTTCTTTTGTGTTCCTTAGGGCCATCTCGAATCAAACTTCACACGTAGTCACCCATCATAGCTTCATCCCATGTCCCCTGATATCTCTTCTCCATAGTTTGTATGTCCTGGTGAAACCGTTCACCATGCTCTTCACTCACATGTCCCAAGTTTGGTCTGAAGAATTCCAAGTGTGAATGCAAGTACATGTAGTGTAACTTCATTGACACTCTGCAGCCAAGTTCTCTATAACTGTACAATTAAATTTTCCACCATCTCTTTGTAGTTCTCAGACTTGTGGTTGCCCAGACACCCACGTACTATAAGCCAAAATGCTTGCCAGGCATTTTTTTCAACAGTTGACATTTTGTCTTCCAAATCTTTAGATGCCAACATCTGCCTAATTTGTGGTCCAATGAAGATGCCGCCTTTGACTTTGGCCTCTGACAATTTTGGGAACATTAGGCGGACATGTTTAAAGGCGTTACTTCTTGGGCTTAATGCTTTGATGAACTGCTTCACAAGCCCTAGCTTTATGTGAAGTGATGGCAGCAATATCGTTTCTCTTTCAATAAGAGCATTGTTACATACATTGTGTGCACCAGGAGTTAATTCGCTTCCAACATGCCAATCTCTTCTGTCATAGTGTTTGTCATCTCTCTCTTCTATCCCATAGACAGAGAATGCAAGAATACTTGGTATAGCCACCTTATAGTCCAAGCAGGAAACCTATCATCTTGAAGTCTCCACATGCATCCCAATTGTTTCTTGTATAGTTGAGCATGTCCAACAAAATCTTTACATTTTCATAGTCTTCCTTCATGTGAACTGAATGACCTACTGGAATTGATGGAAGTGTATTCCCATTGTGAAGCAACACAGCCTTAAGAGTTTTGTTGAGCTGTCAATAAACAAATGCCAATCAGAAGGGTTGTACTCAATGCCTCTTTGGCCAAAAAGGCCATTGACATCTGAGCAGTAACACAGCAAATTGAGTTCCAAAACTTTGAAGAAAGGTGTAAAAGTTAGATGCATTTTCCTGTATGTACTAATGTTGCAACTAGGATCTAGTAAATTGCACTCCTTGAGACGAGATGTCAAAATCTCAGCATTTTCCTTGGTAAGACCTAAACCTTGACTAAGTCATCCACTTTGTGCTGATTAGGAAAATGTGGGGATTTGCTTGAGTCTGCTACATTAAAGTCAACATCCTCGCCCTCTTCAGAAGATGAGAAGTCCGCATTTGAAATCGCTGTGCTTTTTAACAAATCCCCCAAAATTGCATTAAAATTGAGAAAAAGAGTGATACAGTATTGTTAATTTTTCAAAAGATATTGATAGCATGGCAAAACCAATGGCAGATTCATAATCAGTATGTCTAAATTAGTAAAGAAACTTATCAAAATCAACATAAACAATAAATTGTTGCACAGTGTTATATTACTTATGTAAGTTTCACCCAAGCAGGTCCTAAACACACACTGTTAAAGACATTTTCTGGTATTGTACTGTCCCAGGGTTTATTATTAACTATTTTAGTCGAAAGCCCAAAGTCTAGCTGAAAACGCTGGGGGTCAAGGGGTCTATGTATTACATTGTACGGTATACATCCTTATGAAATTGGACAGAAACAGTGGCTCTAGGTGATAAAATGACTATATACTGTACTGTCATTGTGTTCAGAGATTAACTAAGATTGGATCATTTTGTTCCAGGAATTTTTTTAGCAACTAATTGGATGTTAGTTGAATGTTCATAGTGGAAATTGTTTGGTACAGTGATAAATGTTGTAACAGTTTTGCACCTTAAAGATATTGTACTACTGTACAGGTACCGCATTGTTGGGATATAGGTAAGCATCTGCTTATACAGTACTGTATTGACGTGATCCAAGAAGACCAGTCTTTGTGTTAATTTTATGAAAAAGATTGTAATGATAGATTAATTCCAGTTATTTTGTACAGAGGATCAGTAACAGTGACTTTAATTACTGACACTAAAAATCTAGATTACATCAGTTTCCATGGTCAGTTTGTAAAATATGATGGTCTTTTTGTCTTGACCTTTCAGACTGCTTTATCCATTGTACTGTATATTCTGGAGGATTGATAAGATAGTGGGAGACATTATGGTTTTAAACAAGTTTCTGGACAGAAAATTTATAAAAGTGAGTGTGATAAGAATTAAACAAATTATTTTATTCTTAATTATCTGTACTACTGTATATGGTTGGTGTTCGTGTACTGTGTATTGATAAGACCACATTATTAAAGAGTGTTCTACAGTGTTTGTTATAACAGTACAATATGCAGTACTGTTTTTGTAAGTACTGCACTTATATACTGTACTGTACCCTCAAGAGGCCCAAAAATATCCTTGTTTGATCAGCTTGCAGGAACCCTCAGCCCTCAATCTAAGCCATTTTTATTTGTGCACTGCTTGGGAAAATTATTCAGTTAGTCAGGGATTATGGACCCTTAGTACCTCTGTAATTGGTTTATACTATAAGCTTTTATTAATTGGTTATGGATTCTGACACAGGTGGTTTTAAAATATTCCATATATGGTACTGTACACTCTTGTACTGTACTGTAGATTTTCCTGTTGTATAATCTTTTTTATTGGATGGTGAAATCCTTGTGTATGTCAAGGTGTACATAAGGTAAAATTACATTTAGATTGGGTGCCGCTAACCTAGATTAAACTTTAAAAAACTGCAAATAAGACTGGAGTTTTACTTTTAACAGTGTGATAGATATTTGTAACTCCTTGCTAACAAGTTACTGTTTATTTTATAGTTTAAGGTTCTGTAAACAGCTCAATTAATTGCTAATTCTGTTTAATGTAATAATATGTTTATTGATCACTTGTTACAGCTTGGAGTTACTGGTCCTCTTTAAAGTAACTTATGTGTTTATTTTCATTATAAACAAAGCTCACTTCTATTCCTTTCTTTTTTTGTTTTGGATTTTTTTGTCTTTTAAATCTCACTATCATGTGAATAACAAGTTTTGTTCAAATGCATGTTATGTTTATGTGGGAATAATTTAATGCAATTTTTTTCCCCCACAGGAGGAGACACCTCAGGGTCTGTTCGAAGACCATGGGCTGGGTTAACTGTCAGGCTGGCTGGGTATTACCACATTCTGAAAGAGACAAAGAGAAAAAAAAGTGAAAACGAAAAAAACATATATATATATACTATACTGTAGTAAGAAAATATAAAAGGGAAATTTTGCTGTAGCATTTCCCATTGCTGTGGAAGCTGTCCTTATTGTAGTCTTCTTATTAGTGTTGACTCCTCAGTCAATTAGAATGTTTGCAAAAGAATATAAAATTGCTCTAAAATAGAACAACAAATTGTTACAGATGACTTAAATTTTTATCTAGAAATTGTTGCAAATAAGAAAAGTTATATTTAAATTTTTTAAAGTTATTGAGAGATGTTGTTTAAGAATTCTTCACGTGGAGGACTACAGACAGTACAATAGTGGTAACTCTCTTCTTTACTGATCACCTCACAACTTACACTTGTTTGTTCCTTTAAGCACAGTTGGGTAATACTGCATTCCTCCTAATATTATTCCTTTTAAGTACAACTATAACGTGTAGTGTCTTCCTTACAGTGTAACATAATTAATTTAGATTATGCTTTATTTAATATCGTAGGCATTAATAAGCTAAAATGCTTGCCAAATTCTCTGTAAAAAATGGCTGAGGAAAGTCCAGCAAGAATGAAATGTGATGGAGGAAGGTATATGAGTCATTTAAAGTGAGGAAAGGCTACATGTCACAAAATGGTCAGTGTTAAAAAAAGTACTGTACTGTACTGTACTGCGAAACCAATTATTCTTTAAGAAGACACAAGCCAGTCAATTCTAATCTAAACTACCATAGAAATGTTGTGTTAGGTTTGCACTGTCTACTAAAGGAAAAGTTGTGTTCCTGACCCTTCTCTAACATTGGGCATTTTGTACAAGTGTTGGTGGTGGAAGTTTGTAAGCAAGAATCATCAGCAACAATGTTGATGGATTAGAGATTGATTAATAATTTTTTGTCCATCTGTGATAAATGATGAATCACTTTTGCAGCAGAGAAGATCTCCACATTTCTTGCATTCCTAGTTCTAAGTATACAAACAAGTAATATTATAGTTGAGTAATACTGTACATGTATTTCCTTAATACAGTATTACTGTACATAGAAGTGCACAAGCAGAATTTGTAAATCCTGTTTGTATGGCTATTTTTGTTACCAATAAAATGTGACTTCATGTTAATGGAAAAACACAAGAGTGACCAAGACTTGTTTATAAGCTGTGTCAGGATGGGATGGTTAAAAGTCAAATTAGTATTCATAAGGCTTTCTGGTGCAGCTTTAAATAGGCAGAGGAGATCGGTAATTGGTAGTGTTGTTTTGTTGTTCACCGAGTCCTTTTATTTCAATATTTAGTATACCTGTACTGTACCTTCCATTATGTGAGTGCTAATCTGTTATGTACCTCATTTTAGGCAAAGCTAACTGATGTTTAAAAGGCAATAATTATTGTACAGATGTACAGTATTGTAGAAAATTATCTTATGTATGATCACTTTTATTTCTTAAATGATGTTGAATGTTAAATAACAAGCCACTGGGAATTAACAGGTCAACCTGGTATTACATGTGGAAGGTTAAGTTTGATAGTAAAATTTCATATTTTAAGTTAGATTAACTATAATGCTAAGTCATTTGGTATAAGTTTGTAAGAATGACATTCCAGTCATGTGTGACCATATCACTAGACTATAAGGAGGTCAACATCTGTTACCATCACCTGTACAGTACTGTATGTACTTTGATTACTCAGTGTTGTGTCATTTACCAGGAAACTGTTGAGCACTTTAGTTTTATTTTATGGAGGTTATTATCTCTTATTGACTTAAAATCTTTCAAAACCGTTTGATGGATCGAGTCTTAAGCTTTGTGTTGTTGTACCTTTAGGTCGTAATATTACATAGTGTTTTCAGGATCCTTTTCCAATTACAATAAAATTAGTATTTAACGTTAAACTTAATACAGCATTCAGACGTTTCAGAAACCATAAAAAAATCTAAATTTGGGGGTACACATGTGTACCTTTATCAAGTCTTATTGAAGTATATTCATAAGATCTTGAACCATTAACTGACATGCAGAACAAAAGCATCTATGAAACTAGTCTTATACAATATGGCCATCTAACTGTCTGATGATGGTAAAAAAAAAAGTTGCAGTAACAATGGATATGACATACTTTCTTGTCATTATTTAACAACATTATTTCTTCATTGTGTGAGAAATATCATAAATAATGAACATTGGAAGTTCATCACAAACCCAGGTACCTCCAGTCTCAGTCAGTGATTCAGAACCGTCCACCTACTAGTTTTAGATTAATATATATATATATATACAGTGAACCCTCACTTTACGCGGTTAATTCAACCCACAGGGTACCGCGGAAAGTGAGAAACGCGTAAAGTGAACAACATAACATATGGGATTAATTGAAATAGAGACCGGGCCGACCCCCAAACTCCACTTTTTCAGACACAATACCTACGTTGTAGTAAAAATAACTTCTTAATTTTATGATGGCATGCACACACAATTAATAATTAAGAGAAATATCAATAATATTAGGTTTTTTAACACTTACATTAGCAGAAAAGATGGCTGGGCACACGGGGATGGGGGGTTGGTTCCGAGGCAGAGGGCAGATTATTGGCCCTCACCTGTATCACTTGTATCAATTGTATCACTATCCACCACAGTGGCTTGCAGGGCCTCTTTGTAAAACCCCTCAAAGTCCATATAAGTCCATATCCTCACTATAATTATCACTACAGTATCACTGACTTGGGCCGGCTGTGGTGGGTGGCAGGTGAAGAACTCGGTAATGTTTTGATGACTGGGCGACCTTGTGCGCACCCTGCTCGCGCCGCTTACACAACATGGCGGGAGGTTTGGATCCAAAAATGGCGCGGCTCGCCAGCCGCTCTCCGCGTAAAGGGGTACACGCGCCGCGGAATGTGAGCATTCCAGTTTCGGCAGGGTACAGCGTAAACGTGGAAACGCGGAATGTGGGACCGCGTGGCGAGGTTGGCTGCGTATATATATATATATATATATATATATATATATATATATATATATATATATATATATATATATATATATATATATATATATATATATATATATATATATATATATATATATATATATATATATATATATATATATATATATATATATATATATATATATATATATATATATATATATATATATATATATACACACACACACACATATATATACACAGTAATACCCCGCTTTACGCAGCTCTTGTTAACGTGTTTCCACATTTACGCGGTACCCCGCCAGAACCGGAATTCCCACTTTACGCGGTGCATCTACTCATATACGCGGGAAGCGGCGCGGGCAGGGTGCGCACAAGGTTGCCCAGTCATCAAAACATTACCGAGTTCTTCACCCGCCACCCACCACAGCCGGCCCAAGTCAGTGATAGTGATAGTGAGCATATGGACTTTGAGGGGTTTGACAAAGAGGCCCTGCAAGCCACTGTGGTGGATAGTGATACAATTGATACAAGTGAGGGCCAATAATCTGCCCTCTGCCTCGGCACCAACCCCACATCCCCGTGTGCCCAGCCATCTTTTCTACTAATGTTAGTGTTAAAAAACCTAATATTATTGATATTTCTCTTAATTATTAATTGTGTGTGCATACCATCATAAAATTAAGAAGTTATTTTTACTACAACGTAGGTATTGTGTCTGAAAAAGTGGAGAATTTAGTAAACGTTCTCGCTGTACCATAATAAGGTTAATGCCGTTCACCTATATATATATATATATATATATATATATATATATATATATATATATATATATATATATATATATATATATATATATATATATATATATATATATATATATATAAAGAATGTGCGAGAGAGTGAGTTTTGAGGTTCACTTCCTCAATTTTTAAATTGAGTACAGTATACCGGTTCAGTACTCATGTTGCTATGGTACCCTGAGTTACCTTGGTCCAGGTCACTTGAATATGTTGATTAATAAGGACAGGGACAACCTTACCTCCAACAGTCTATCATATTATAAGACTTTATATAATGTACATTATGGTACAGTATTACAATACAGTATTATCTTTAATGATTTTAGAAATATTTTGTGGAAACAAAAAGAGGCACAGTTTCTTAATTTGCATTAAAATAAGTGGTGAACAGGTTGTGAATATGGCAGTATGAAGGGATGTGCCAAGACTGAGGAAGTGCATATACTGTAAGTAATTTAGTGTGGGTGAGTACAAGGCAGACTGTTAAAAACGTAATAAATGGGTTACAGTAGTGTATCAGCATTTTGAGTAACAAGGATCTGGTAGCTTGAGGTGCTTTAAGCTGTAGTACTCAAAGTTCAAATCACTAATCATCACATTTTTGTCTAGATTCAGGATGTAAAATGTGACATTCTTAAGCATGAGTTGCCTTACAATGTGAAGAGTTGCATGATATTCATTTATATAAAGCTTTTATAAAGTACTGTACAATATATGTTCCACCTGGATGTGTGCTTCTGGTCCAAATATTTTTAAGATAAATTTATTATTGGAAATCTCAGAGTAATTCTTTAAATATGCAAAGTAATCTTCCAGTACAGTATTTTAAATGTTTGTTTTTATATAGGGATTTTTACTATTAAACATGCAATGCCTTGTTAAATTTACAAATGTAAAGCCTTGTACTGCATTGTATGATAAATCTTAATACATTTATTCCACTAAAATTTATATTTATTAAGACCCAAGGGAGAATATGTCTTTTTTCCCATCTTTATGTTATGCTGCACCAGTCTAATCTTTCGCATAGGAATTATTTACCTGTCTGTCTTTCTAGATAATCTTTTTTTTTAAATTTGTATCAGTTGATTACCTTTTGAAGTACTATATGTTTTATACATTAGAAGCACCATAAAAATGGAGTATTAAAGCCTAAAACCCCATGTTGTAGCCAAGAGAGTCACCTCCGCTACAACCCATCCTGCTATTGCTTGCTTTGGTTGGCTCTATGGTGTCCAGTGAATCAGTGTAAGAGCTGTAAAACAACTTCTTGCCCAGCAAAACAGAATGAGAGCAATGGTTTAAACT